TGAGTTCACCTCAATTCCTTGTTAGCCTAGTTTTTCTAGACTTAGTCCCTCTTTCTCAAGTAGAGACTAAGTCATAAAGGCATGAATCAATATTTGCAACCATTAGTTCTTGAGTTCTAGCAAGAACTAGGCTAAATATCACTAACCCATTCACATTCAAGCCCTAAAATCAATTACCTATTAAATACCCACACTAGGGTTAGGTCACAATCCTAGCTATGGGTTTAGCAACTAATAGAAATAACAGAAATTAAAGATGAAATGAAGATAAAATCCATGATATTAATTTATGGAATGAAAATCTAATGTTAAGAAGTGAATCTAGTATAAAATATCCGAAAACAGAAAAGTCAGTCGTATACAAAATATAACATAACCTGATATCCCCTAAAAATGACAAAAACTTCTATTTATACTGAGCTGAAAATATCGGACAAATATGCCCATTTGAAAGTTGTGCGGCCGCGTAATTCTGAGTGCGGCCACATTCTTGCTTTCACGGACGCGTAATTCTGACGCGGTCCGCGTTCTTCTCTTTTGGATTTGTCTCTGGTTCTTCATTTCGCGGACCACATAATTTCTATCGTGGCCGCATAATTCTGGTGTCATCTATCTGAATCTGAGTCGTCGCGGTCCGCGTAATTTCAATCACGGCCGCATAAGGACTTTCGCGGCCGCATATTTCTGGTGCGGTCCGCGCTCATCATTTAGCCCAAAAATCGCTCTCTGAATCTCCCTCTCGCGGACCGCGTAATTTTGATTGTGGCCGCATCATGGCTTTCGCGGCTGTACAATATTTGTGCGGTCCGCGCTTCAGACCTCTTTGCCCAGCCTTAGTTTTTGTTCAACTTTTGATTCCTTTGTGAGTTGATTTTAATTACTTTGGCTCATTTTGAACAATTCCAGCAAGCAAGCAAGCATATTTCATTAGTTTCTGGGAATACTTTCAAGTATTTTTGACCTAAAACACAAGTAAAAAAGAGCAAATAATAGGTTAAAATCCCCACTTATCAGCATTCAAGGCGTAAAAGTATCAAGCAGCATTTTGTATCTCTTATCTCTTATGATTAGAAGTATTAGCATGGACTTCCAAAGCATACTACATTTTGCAAAATATACTGCAGAGAATCATGCAATTTACTGAAGGATTCTGTAGAGGTATTTACACTAGATAAACTCAGAAACTACTCAAGTACAATTACCTCAAGTAATATTCAAGGGCTTTTTAGATTTATGCCATAGACCATAATATAATCCATGGCTGAGATCTTCAAATCTCATAATTGTCGAAAGAACTAAAAAGGGCAATATTTATACTAACGGCACTAGTTAAAAATGAACCCACGTTCTCTCTTCTTTTTACTGCAATGCAAAATAAAGCACCACATGAATTTTCTCAACAAAGAAATTAAGATGGCGAGCATCGGCTTCCCTACTTTTTTGACCCGTCGAAGAACCCATTTGCCATACTAAGCATTTTATAAATGTACTTAATTACGTGAAGTACTGTTGTTACTCATAACGGTACTCCTATTCCCACAACAGTACTTGTAGTATGGCAAAACATTTTGGTTAAGTATGAAACTTTAATTGTGTTTTACATTAGATTTGAATACATTGTAGCCCGAGTACAAGTCTTTGTGACTTATGATCATTTGGAGGTTTTGCAATCATGTGAGATGGCAGACATTTCTAGAGTTGGTATTAGTAAAAAGTAAATAAATTTAGTACTGATTTTTGTTAGTTGTTTGTTTGGTACATTTGCTTTAGTTTGCAGTTTAAACGTAAGAAACGTATTAAAAGAAAAAAAAGAAAGATAAAAGAACCATGGGATAAGTATAAGATTTGGATAAATCTCAAGCCATGGATTATATTATGGTCCACATGGCATAAATTTAAAAGGCCCTTGAATATTACTTGAAGTAATTGTACTTGAGTGGATCTTTTTCGCTAATGATTCTTGCTTTCTCTCAAATTCTTGTGCTGAAATGGAAAATTGAGTTCCTATTTATAGGAGACTTGCCAAACTTTGGGCCAAGAATGCTTGTTTTCTTTGTAATTTGCTTTGCAAATTGCCACCGTTCACACTTGATTTTGGTTTCAATAACTTGTTGCAACTTGCAAGGTTCTTGTTTCTGCCGTTATTGCTATCTTTCATTTTTATTATTTTAATTATTCTAATTGGGATCCCACACATATGCCAACAAATCCCAAACTCATAGTTTTGGCATGCGAGAACAACTATCTTACTTGTGAGGAGTTGACTATTAAAGTTCTTAGTGGTCTAGGTTCATAATAAAAGGAAATCTTAGCAGCCATCCGAGCCCGAGACACACCCATCAGTTTTGAAGAACTATATGATAAACTACTTGGTCATGATGTATTCCTTAAACATAAAGATGTCAAAAAGGAACAACTCAATATCACTGCTCAACTTAACCAATGAAGCTCCTCAAACAATCGACATCATGGTAACAATCTTAATACCAACCGCAGATCATCCTCCGCAAATGGATAGTTAGGCAATCAATCAAGACAACAAAATGGATATCCTCCAAGGCAATTCAATAATCAACGGGTGCAATGTCTAACTCTATGACAATTTGGCCATATCGCCAAAGTTTAGGCTCTCAAAGTCTCTCTCAGCTGCTAAAATACAAGACAACTTTGCTGCTCATATCAACTCATCAAATAATTATTGGGTGATTGACTCGGGTGCTTCCCACTACATAGAAAATTATCCTCAAAACCTCATATCTGCATCAGACTTCACTGGAATGGATGAGATCATCATTGTGGATGATAATGGTATCCCTATTTCACATATCAGACATACAGCTCTCTCAAAGTCTAATTCTAATAGTCTAGTTGTGCTTAATAATGTTTTGTGTGCACCTACCTCACACACTAAAAAATCTAATTTTAGTAGCCTTGAATTTTTTCCAAATTATTTTCTTGTGAAGGATTTGAGAACGAGGGCATCACTTTTTCAAGGCCAGATTAACGGGGATCTCTACGAATGGTCATCACCATATTCCACTCAGTTTACAGTATCAACCACCCATACACCACTACATCTGTGGCATGCCCATTTTGGTCATCCTCAACCAGCATCACAAAGTTGATGGTCTCCTCATTGAACCTTCCAATCTCTGCATCAAAGTCCTTTACCTTTTGTGATTTGCTTGTAATAAGAGCCATAGCCTCACATTTGGAATTAATACTTTACGAAGTGTTCGACCTCTTGACATTCTTTATTCGAATGCTTGGGACCTTCTCCTATTCTATCTTTTGATAAAGCTCATTACTATATTGTGTTTTTCTATTACTTCACTAAGTATTCTTGGCTTTTCACAACAACAATATACCAAGTATTATCCCACACCGTGGGGTCTGGGGAGGGTAGTGTGTACGCAGACCTTACTCCTTCCTTGTGAGGATAGAGAGGTTGTTTCAAATAGACCCTCGGCTCAGAAAATCATAAACACAACATTAATGACAATATAGACAAGAAGGGACCGTACCAAAAAATCATATAAAACAAAATAAATACAACAAGATAGTAAAGTGATCAACAATGAATGAAAATGACGGTTAGTCATAAAACCTACTACCAACAGAAAGTAAGACTGGGTGCCAATACTAATGTTATGAACACCCTAGACTACCAACTCTACTAACCTAATTCTCGACCTCCATACGTTACTATCAAGGGTCATGTCCTCAGTCAGCTGAAGTTGTGCCATATCTTGCCTAATCACCTATCTCCATCTCTTCTTTGGCCTATCTCTACCTCTCTGTAGGCCCTCCAATATCAACCTCTCATACCTCCTCACCGGAGTATCTGTGCTCCTCCTCCTTACATGACCAAACCACATAAGTCGCGCTTCCCACATCTTGTCCTCAATAGGGGCCACACCCACCTTGTCTCGAATAACCTCATTTCTGATGCTATCTAATCTGGTGTGCCCGTACATCCATCTCAACATCCTCATCTCTGCTACCTTTATCTTCTGGACATGAGCAATCTTGCTGGACAACACTCAGCCCAATACAATAGCTACAGTCTGACCACCACTCTGTAGAACTTACCTTTAAGTTTAGGTAGCACCTTATTATCGCACAAAACATTTGAAGCGAGTCTCTATTTCATCCATCCCGCACCAATACGATGTGTGACATCTACATCAATCTCCCTATCCCCCTGAATAATAGATCTATGGTACTTAAAACTTCCTTTCCTAGGGATGACCTGCAAGTCCAGCCTCACCTCCCCTTCCCCTTGTTGAGTCTCGCCACTGAACTTACACTCTAAGTATTCTGTCTTGGTCCTGCTCAACTTGAAACCTTTAGACTCCAGGGTCTGCCTCCATACCTCTAATTGCGCGTTCATACTATCTCGCGTCTCTTCAATCAATATCATCTGCAAATAGCATGCACCACAGCACCTCCTATTGGATGTAGCGCGTTATTACGTCTATCGCCAGACCAAACAAAAAAGGGCTGAGTCCCGACCCCTGATGCAACCCCATCATAACCGGAAAATGGTCTAAGTCCCCACCCACCGTCCTCACTCGGATCTTTGCTTCATCATACATGTCCTTAATCAACCTAACGTAGGCAACAAGGTACACCTCTAGCCTCTAAACATCTCCACAAAACCTCCCTCGGAACTTTATCGTACGCCTTTTCTAAGTCAATGAACACCATATGCAAGTCCTTCTTTCTCTCCTTATACTGCTCCATCAATCTCCTAACAAGGTGGATGGCTTCTGTAGTCGAATTCCTCGGCATAAACCCAAATTGGTTCTCAGAAATAAACACACTCCTCCTCACCCTTAGTTCTACTACTCTCTTCCAGACTTTCATAGTACGGCTAAGCATCTTGCTACCTCGATAGTTATTTCAATTTTGGATATCACCCTTGTTTTTGTATACAGGAACTATCGCGCTCTACCTCCACTCTTTGGGCATCTTCTTTGTTCTAAAAATGACATTAATTAACTAGTGAGCCATTCCAAGCCCGCCTTGCCCGTACTCTTCCAAAATTTCACTGGGATTTCATCTGGCCTGGTCGCTTTGCCCCTGCTCATCTTACGCATAGCCCCCTCAACTCCATCAACTCTAATCTGCATACAATAGCTAAAGTCACAGTGACTCCCGGAGAGTTCCAAATCACCAAGTACAATGCTCCCATCCCCATCTTCATTCAAGAGACTATGGAAGTAGGTCTGCCATCTCCGACAAATAAGCCCCTCATCCAATAAAACTCTACCTTCTTCGTCCTTGATGCACTTCACTTGGTCTAAGTCACGCGCCTTCCTTTCTCGCGCCTTGGATAACTTGAACAACCTATTATCCCCACCTTGGCCCTCGAGTTCCTCATACAATCAACTAAAAGTTGCAGTCTTGGCCGCCATAACTACTAGCTTTGTCTCTTTCTTATCCAACTTATAATGCTCCCTATTCACCCTCTTCTCCTCCTCGTCTACACTTTCCACTAGCTTCAGATACACTGTTTTTTTGGTTTTCACTTTTCCTTGCACCTCTCTATTCCACCACCAGTCTCCCTTGTGACTACCAGAGTAAACATTTGAGACCCCTAATACCTCTCTTGCAGCTTCCCTAATGTATTGCGCAGTCGTGGTCCACATAGCGCTAGCGTTCCCACTACTCCTCCAAACCCCCATAGTCAACAGCTTGACCCCCAACTCTTGCGCTTTATCTTCCGTCAAGGCTCCCCACTTGATACTATATTGGTTATACATCTCCCTCTTCCTCCTCTTCCTCATGATCTCAAGATCCATGACCAGGAGCCTTTGAAGGGTCGAGAGGTTCTCACTCAGGATGACCTTGCAATCCGTGTAAAGACTTCTATCAGACTTCCTGTAGAGTAAATAATCAATCTGAGTCTCAGGCACCAAACTCCGAAAGGTGACCAAGTGCTCCCTCTTATTCAGGAAACTTGAGTTTGCTATCACCAAATCAAATGCTCTAGCAAAGTCCAGCAGAGACGTTCCTCCTCCGTTTCTATCTCCAAAACCAAAGCCACTATGCACATCATCATACCCCTCAGACGTCGCTCCAATGTGGCCGTTAAAATCTCCTCCTATGAAAAACTTCTCGGTATGAGGGATACCACGCACCATCTCATCCAAATCCTTCCTGAAACGCCTCTTGACTTCCTCATACAAGCCTGCTTGGGGTGCGTACGCACTGATTATGTTCAAAGTAAAACTTCCAACAACTAGATTAATAGTCATTAGCCTGTCATTCACCCTCCTATCCTCCACCACTAGTTCACGGAGGTCCTCATCAACCAAGATACATAACTTGTTCCTTCCACCCACCCTCCCAGAATACCATAGTTTGAACTTGTCTATATCACGCACCTTATCACCTTCCCACCTAGTCTCATGTACACAAGCTATATTAATCTTCCTTTTCTCAAGAATCTTTCCTAACTCTACAGATTTTCCAGTCAAAATTCCTATGTTCCAAGACCCCACTCTCAGCGTAGTAGCTCCCTTCGCCATCTTACCCCCCGCACCCTCTCCCTTGCGCTGACATCCCCGAGGATAAGACCTTACCCTACCATCGTTCATCAAAGCCACTATATTCTTGGCTTTTCACACTTAAACAAAAATCTGATATTACTGTTATTTTTAATAACTTTACAAACCATTTATTTTCCTGTCTATATTGATGGTGGTGGTGAATATGTTGGTTTGCATTCCTTACTTAATAGACTGGATACTCAACATTTTACATGTCCACCCTACACTCCCAAACATGTGGGCACAGCCGAACGGAAACATCATCACGTCATTGAAACGACCCTTACATTACTATACTATGCTTCTGTTCCACTTCATTTTCTGGTCATCAGCATGTCAAGCAGCCATATATTTGATCAATCCAATACCCACACCCACTCTTAAAAATAAATTTCCATATGAAGCGTTTGCTCCAAACTACTCACAACTCCATGTATTCTGTTGTTTATGCTATTAGTGGATCAAGCCATGAATAAACCACAAATTCGATAGCAAATCAAATCCATGTATCTTTATGGGGTATGCAAACATGTGAAGTGGATACATTTGCTACGACCCTAAAAATTAGAATTTCTATTCTTCTCGACATGTCATTTTTGTACAGTTAGTGTTTCCTTTAAATAACTACCAAAATTATCTTCCTTGCGTCAATCCTACAGAGCTGAAGTTTGGGCTAATCCATACCACTGAACCTTCTCCACCTACGGGAGAAGTGGAAATTCCTTCTACAAGTTCCTTCCCTAATGACATATCAATAGTTCCAGCAAGCAGCGTTTCCCGTAACTCTGCCTTGACCAGTGACAAGCCCACTGTCTCACCATCACATGTAACTTCTTCATCCCCATCTTCTCCTTTATCGGCTTCACTTGCTGCATATACTAGTCCTACTTCTACAGCCGACACTACTGGAAATGAAACTTTTCAACCTCAGGATTCATCTCAGCCACAGATCCTTCCTCTTCCGGTACTTGCATCTCAGACTTTGCTATCTAACTAGCATGCTTCATCACTCAATCGACCAGTGACACGATTAATGAACAATATTTTCAAACTAAAAGAGGTGTTTGGTAATTTGGCTACAACATGCTCATCCCTCTTTTGTTGGCACCTAGTACATATTGTCAAGTTAGTCGACATTGTCAATGGTGTTTACAATACAAGCAGAATTTGATGCTCTGCAGTGCAGTCAAACATGATTTTTAGTACCCCCATCTCCTCATCATAATGTCATAGGATGCAAAGGGATTTTCAAAATCAAACACAATCCTGATGGCACAATAGAATGCTACAAAGCTCGACTTGTCACTAAAGGATATATCCAACGACCAGGCCTTGACTTCAACTCCACATTCAGCCTCGTAGCTAAGCACATAACTTATCATGTCATTATCTCCATCGATTGGCGTCATCTTAGGTTGGCCTATAAACTAGTTAGATGTTAATAGTTCCTTTTTACAAGGCTCTTTGCATGACACTGTTTCTACAAAACAACCTCAAGGCTTTGTGGATCCTCATTTTATTGATCATGTATGCTCATGAAGAAAGCTATTTATGGTTCACACCAAGCTCCTCGTGCTTGGTACATGGAGCTTCATTCTTACTTACTTTCATGTGGCTTTAATAATACTCATTCCGATACTTCACTGTTCATCTATTGTTGTGACGACTCTCTTCTATTCCTTCCAGTTTATGTAGACGATATTATTATCACATACAACTCAAAGTATGTTGTCCAGTCTATCATAGCGAAGTTGGCATCTTGATTCTCTCTAAAATATCTTGGTTGCCTGCACTATTTCCTTGTAGTAGAGGTTACTCCCTACAATGGTGGATTAATTCTTACACAACGCAAGTACATTTTTGATATACTGGACTTCCACAATATGTTAGATGCGAAAGGGGTGTCCATTCCACTGTCTTCCTCATCAGATTTGTCTCTCAATGATGGCTCCGCCCAACAGATGCCAAAGAATATCGAAGAGCTATAGGTGCCTTACAATACTTATCACCAATAGTTAACCATTGGAAAGTTGTCAAAAGGCTTCTTTGGTACCTCAAACACACTATTACCTTTGGCTTACACTTCAAAAAGTCTTCGTCTCTATCGCTAACAACATTCTCAGGATGCCGACTAGCGACTGGGCTGGTAGCTATGACGATCACATGTCAACATCAGCCAACTTAATTTTTCTTGGCTCTAATCCATTAGTTGGTCTTCCAAAAAGCAAGTACAGTTGCTAAACCATCCACTGAAGTAGACTATAAAGTAGGGGCTACAACCGTTGCAGAAATAAATTGGCTATCTAATCTTTTGCATGAACTTTCGCTAATCCAGTTCAAATTACTGGTTGTATGTTGCGACAATATTGGTGCCACTTATCTTTGTAAAAATCCTTTTTCCATATTAGGATAAAGCATATGGCCATTGATTTTCATTTTGTGCGCGATTAAATTTCCAAGGAAAAAATTGTCGTGAAACATATACCAACTGGTGAACAATTAGCGAATCCACTAACAAAGGCTCTTCCTAAGCGGCAATTCTTCCAACAAGTCAACTAGATAATGCGGGGCAATGATTAGTCTCATCAACGTGAATATATCTGTTCTGTTATGAATATTGTTAACTAAGTCCTAGTTTTACACATTCTCAAACTCTTGTGGATATCTCTATCGTATTTAACTATTTAGATTTACCTTCCGAATGTACTATAAAAAGGAATATAGTTGAGTCAATGAAACCGTCCCTTTCCTGCAGATATTGAGATTCATAAGATGTCGGCATAACATTATTTATATCGTAGTAGATGAGACTTAGGGTGTGTTTGGTATGAATTTCTAATTTTTCCATGTTTGGTTGGATTAAATATTTTGGAAAACGTTTTCCTCATGAACTCATTTTCGTCCAATTGGAGGAAAATGTTTTCCCTATCAAGAGAAGGGAAAATATTTTCCAAAGCTCCTTCTCAACCTTCCCCACCCTATTCCCCTTCCCTACCAACCCACCCC